AACAAAGGGGCCATGCTTGAGACATAATCAGACTCCACACTCACGTCTTAGGATGATAAGCAAGCCTTACTTCTTATGTTGTGATTTAAATGATGTTTAAAATGCAAATATCTTCTCAAATTTCAATAAAATCCAACATCTCTTAAGTTGTCTGAGAAGCCCCTTGCCCTCTCATCTTATACTTAGCTCTGAACTCGAGCGACTGAGAACACATAAATGGCTCCTCCTTTTTTCCTTTATCCTATATTTTGAATTCCGAGCTCTAAATTGGCTACAACCCATAGTCAAGCCCTAAGAGGCTGTTTTAGTTGAGAATTTATATTTTGGATTTATTACATGTCATAAATCTAAGGAATCTATGAATTTTTAAAATTTTCAAATTTTGTTTGGTTTGCAGGATAGTGGAGTGGAAAGTTGGTCTTGAAAAGAAAATCTTGAAAATCTTGGTTGTTTGCAAAGAAAGTGGTAAAGTTGAAATAAGGATTTATGGGCAGCACTCATGCTTAATTATGTATCTAAAATATATTATGAAACTTTTATTTTTTTTGAATGTTTTGAATTATTTAAAAGTTTTAATATTTAATATACTTTTTATAATCTATTTTGTATTTTTTGAGTGTAGTTGGACACACCCTCAAAATCATCCCAAATCCTTCAATTTTGGTAAGACTTCCGAGAGTGGAATATGGTGAGGTGGCAGCTCCATTTTCCATGGACAACTCTATTCAAACAAACAAAAACATTTGCTAGTAAGATTTTGTAACTGATACAAACAGGAAGTAAAGCCCACTTTTCAGATCAAAATCCTTGAATTCTTGATAGTGACCATGGATTCAAACAGCCCCTAGATTGAATCTGTATGAGGATTTGTGGAGTTGGATTTATGGTGTCTCAAGCTTAGAGATTCGCAAGGAAAAGTTATTTGAGAGAGTGAGTGCATTAGGGTCGATGATGGCTTGTTATACATTTGAAAAGACTAGTGGAGGGGAAAGAGGTAAGAAATAGAGAAGGATTTAGAGTTGTGTGAGTGTGGGTGTTTGTGGAATGGGGATGAGAAAGATAATGCTTTGGAGAATATTGTTGGGGACAATGTTACAGAAGCCGCTAGGCGAACTAGGTTGAAATTACCCTAGAGGGGGGTGAATAGGGTATTTGTTAATCTAATCCGATATTAATTCCAAAATAAAACTTATTAACAATTTATTCTTGCAATTGAGATGTTTAACAAGTTATGACTTATGAGCAAGAATATGTAATTATGCAAAGGGCGAAATCAAGGTTTTAAATATCGGTTATCGGGAATTTATCGGACGATCAAAATTCTTATCGGATAGCGGAAATCGGGGATATATCGGGGATAAGTAGTATTTATCGGAGTGATATACTAGATGGTGTATATATATAATATAATAACTAAAAAATATAATCTAACCATGCTTAATGAAATATAAACATACCAAAATGTAAATCATCATGTTTAGAATCACTAACCAATTATAGAAAGCAAAACTTGCATCTTGACCGCACGATGAAACCATTCGATTGCATAGCCTTACTTATCGGCCGATAATCCCGATAAAAAAACCTTACTTATCGGCCGATAAGTACCGATAACGCCGATAACTCCCCGATAACTTGCCAAAAACGATAACCGATTAAAAATCCAAGTTATCCTATCGGAGAGCTCCTAAATCCGATAACTCGGCCGATAATATCGGTTATCGGCCGATATTTAAAACAGTGGGCGAAATAAACATGAACAAAATATGCAAATGAGATATTACGCAAATGACAAATGCAAACAAACAATGTGATCACGGAGTTCGGTCACCCTCGACCTACGTCTCCGCTCCTCACCCTCGAGGAGAATCTTCACTATCTCAAAAGATAACTACATAATCGATTTTCAACGCTCACCGATAGGTGATAAACGTTTACAACTCACACACTTGTAATCACACAATACACCCTCTGAGGGTTAGCCTCTCATGCGTCACATTCCTCAAGTGTTTGGATTTACCACCTCTCCCTAGGCTTTACTACTGACGTCACTCCTCTTGGAATTGACTCCGTTTCTCACCAACCACTCCTCTAGGTGTCTTTGTGTATTACACAATGTGATTTCACAATGAAAGCTCAAATATAAGATTCGTTCTCTAATATGAATGAGAACGAAAGTGTAAGCTCACTTAACTAATCACACTCACAACCCAAGTATACTATATGTGAAAAATACTTAAACTCAATATGGGTGTGTGTGAAACAATAAGTACAATGATATTAAAACTCAAATTTCTCTAGCAAGAAAATATGAAAAACAATAATAATAATTTGCTAGAAGATAGGAGTTTAGAAAACTTATCTGATAAACAAGAGATGTGCAAATTTGAGGTAGAAATCCCCAATTTCGTTGTAGCACTTCTCTTATAAACACAAACAAAACACTTTAAATTTATTTTGAAACCCTTTGGAAACTTGTAAAACTTGATCTAAACTTTCATTTTCTTAAAAATTACAAATGAAACCAGCGGGGTATATATAGGTTCTCACTACAACAGCCAAAGTACGAAAAACGAGGCAAAAACCAATAAAAAACATAGTCTAGAAAAATAGCTGATTTTGCAACGGTCATATGTTCGGTCGACCGGTAGACCTGTGTCGGTCGACCGATGAGTGTCTATGGGTCGACCGATACAAGTGTGTCGATCGACCGAAGAACCCTGATAACAAAATACTAAAAAATATTTTTCTGGTCGGTCGATCGGTATAACCTGTTTGGTCGACCGAAAACTGATACATGTATTTTCTAGGAGCTGATATAGCAGAAAATATGATTTGTAAAATATAATTAAAAATAACAAATAGATTCCAAAAATAGTAAAATTCTGGGAAATGTTTATAAACATGAAAACAAACATGTTTGAGAAGAAATTTTTGAATTTGCATTTCTCGTTTGTGAGAACTCATCATTTTGTAAAAGTGTTAGAAATACGAGTTTGTAATTGCTTGTTTTTGACACAATGATCATTTGCAAGCTTGGAAAACTGTTTTAGTGGATTAAAGGACTTAATAAGAGATATGAAGCATTATTGTTAAGCCAATAATCCAGAAACTTAATATATTCTCAAAAACGTGCATGTGTATGAATTAAGCTTATGAGTATAATGCACAAAGTATAAGCCTAAACTATTTTATCCAAGCTTTCGTTTGAGCTCGATCTTGGTGACAGATGAAGCGATTGAAGAATCTTGATATTAGTTGTGACAGTTTTATTACAAAATCATTCAAGCTCCAGGAATATCATCATTATGCTCAAATATGTCCTAAATGCATATAATATAAAAACACAAACACTAGAAACAAGATTAGAAATTTTTTGTTAATCATCAAAACAAGATTAGAGAAGTAGGCTCATACATATGAGTCATAACATAGGTGTTTGAGCCAACGCCTAGCGTCTAAACATCTAGGCATAGCGCTTAGGTGTTTAGTTATTTTTAAATTATTTAATTATAATAATTGATAAAAATATGTATTAAATTCATATAAATTTATCAAAAAAAGACATCAATCTTGGATCCACAGTAAACCATGCATAGTTAAATACTAAATAGCCAAAATAATAACTAACAAGACTAGAAAACGCTAGGAGGCATATGCATCGGCTCCGACGCCTAAAGTCTATTAGGTTTTCTTTTTTATTTTTTAATTACAATAACTGATAGTGAATGTCAATGTTACCGACAGCTTAGGTGCCGGACTGATGTCTAGACGGATCTCTTTCTTTACTTAAGTGGTGGTCGAGGAGATTTTGCTAAAGGTCGGAGAAGGTAGTGGAGATGTTCATATCTGAAGGTTAAAATAGTTTGAAGGAGGCTGGAGAACGTGGAGACTGCAACACAGAAAATCACGATGAAGACCAAAAGGATGCAGTTCACGTAAGCAGACAATGCTCTGTGCAGCCTAGGTACACCTCCAGGTGCTAGTTAGGCGACCCAGGTACCGCTTAGGCCTAAGCATACGCCTAGGCAGACTAGGCAGACTAGGCGGAGGCTTTTTAAAACAATGGTTGGGATGGGTACTGAGAATCGAGGGAAGAACGAAAGGGCTAAAGAAGAAAAAAAGGAAGAGAGTTCGGAGTTTAAGAAATTAATTTTAACCTAAGATGTCAGTGATGTTCCAAAATTGTTCTTTTCTTTGTCCTCAACCAAGTGATAACGAGAGGTTATCTTAAAGAACTTGTAGATTATTGGGGGCTATTCAAATTTCAAATTAAGAAAATAGTAGGGGCTATATGAAAACTTTAGTCAGGTATTGGATATATAGAAAACGTAGTAAGTAAATAAAATTTTAATATATTAATATATATGTCTTTTATAGAATTAATCATGTCAAAGTAGACATGTAGACAAGAGGAAATATCATATACATGAATGGTAGATGAATTACTAATTATCCTACTAAGTGACATATTTCTTACTTAATGACACCTATTTTTTTCATTCTTATAAGGTGATGTAGAGATACAAATTGGTCTGTTCCAAGGTGATTGCACAATAATTGCTATCTTATGAAACTTCATTGTAATGTCAATATGCATGGTAATGGAATCCAAAACAGAATAAGATGAGTACATGGATATTTTGGATGAACATTTGAACTAGTGTATAATTTTTTTTTATCTTTTTTGTATTTAAAGAAGACAAGTGTCAGCTTAATCTTAAGCTTCCTTGTTTGTTCTGTTCTTTTTCTGTATTAGATGTATTAGTTCTATAAATTTCTCTCTGTATTAGATGTATTAGTTCTATAAATTCATAACTTCTTAAATTTCTCTCTGTATTAGATGTATTGTGCTATGCTTAGATTTGCTCAAGAGTTAATTTAACATTACTTATCATGTAAATCTAAATAAAATAAAAAAATTTCTAAAAAGAAATATATACTTTTATATTGTTATAGTTATTTCATATTCATAAAATATAATTGTATTTTAGTGTTTATTTTTGCAAAGTGTTTTTTCTAAACGCGCATTGAACTTGCCAGGTGAACTAGTGTACAATGAAATAATTGTGACAAGTTCCTTAGTTGTAATTTCTTTCACACGCTCCTTTATATATCCTTAGAGTCTTGGACTTCCTTCTTTATAGAATAACTTCTGTTGTTATTTTCTTGCTTTGCAGGGTCAGCTGTAGGGATTTCTGGAGGTTCTTGTGATCTACCCAAGAATGTAAGTTACATGATATTGTCTAAAGAAACTCAATTATGTTGTTACTTTTTGTTCATGACCTTGTAAGATTCCACTTGATTAAACAAGCATAAGTATGATAATAACATGTCATATGGATTTTGGAGAACATTTGTTGGCAGTTGTGCTGTCATATGGATTTTGGAGAACATTTGTTGGCAGTTGTGCTGTTTTTTTATTTTATTATTTGTGTGTGTGTGTGTGTGTGTGTTTTGGAGCATGGTCATTAACGTTTAACAACATTAGTCTCTAGAAATGGATCTGTAATTATTCATTGATGCATAGATCCACTGTTTTCCATATTTTGCTCATCCTGTTTTTCTATATTTATATGGCTATTTTATATTCACGCAAAAGTATCATGTATCGGGAAACCAGTATCAAAGAAGTAACAAAGAAGAGATGCATAGGAATGGAGAGAAGAAATCTCTCAACTTGTTGTAAAAGGCGGCGTCTTATTTCTTTAGAATACATGATGTCCGAATTCTGGTGCTTTATGTACTCAAGCATCTATGTAAATATATAACTTTAATCTCAAAAATTTTGGCTTCTTGATTTTTTGTCAGAACTCTTGGTACACAAAACAGAGTCTATTATTTATGTTGTATTATTGCTTGTGTGGGATAAATGCAGGTTACTATGTTGATCACTTCTTGCTGTCGTCATGTCGTGGGTCTATAAGCATGCTGTTGTGTGGGTGCACATCATATTCCTAGGCTCACTAGGCTTACATCCTCTTGCTTGTCTCATGCCTGATTTGCGTTGCGATAATAACTTTGATAGCATATGAACCTAAAAGAGATTTGAGCAAGCATATTTGTAGATCCAACCAGAATTACTAGGTAGGGAAGCAACATGGCCACCATAAAGCCCTTCCATTTAAACCAAGTGTTGTAGACTTGTAGTTGAAGCAAAGCATGAGACAATTGAGTATAATACAGAGAGCTTTGATATTAATTATTAACTTTGTGGTACAATGATATATATATTTCAGAGCGCAATGTGTTTGCTGTGCCTAACAATTTATTGTACTTGTACCTTTTGAAGTTTCATTTTATCATTTCTATGATCCTCTTAATCTGTTGATTAACAGTAGTGTAGACACAGTTGAGTCATAAACATGTATATAGAAGGGACAATAAATTGATGGATGACTTCTAGGATTGTGATTAACGCTTCCTCTCTATAATATATTCTCCCTTCCATTGAGTTCTCTCTTTGTTTGAAATTTTTTTCCAGTATTTACTTAAATATAGTATTTCTTTTTTTTCACTTTAGCTCCTCAAAAGATGGAGTTAAGATAAGATCCTTAAGCACTTTATAGTCATTTTTTTAATCTAAACTAATCACATGTGATGCTGAAAATAAAATATACAATCCCTACTAATTGTTTGCTAGCTACTTTCAAAAGTGTGCTTGTGTACGATTGAACTTTCACAGGTGAAGTTCGGTGTATAATTTTACTATTATTATTATTGCAGGGGGTTGAACATAAAAGTCCGAATGCCAGGAAGGAATCATGTGAACAAAGCGAAGATACCTTTTCTGAGGGCCGTTCAGCCATGCAAGGAGGGATATCTTCTCAATTCGGGCCTGGCCAGTTAGGATCTCAGACCAGCAGGCGGTCCTCAGGAACCGGCAAATTTATTCAATCTGATCACTCTGCCTCAGGTTCAAGTGTGTATCAAGGAAACACTGCTTACAAAAGAAACCAAGTTGGGAATGCGAATTATTTGCTTAATTTTCATTATAATCCAATCCCCCGTCCGACCTCTCGAGCTCCTCCTCCTAGAAGGCAAAGGAAGATAAAACCTTATAACAAAGACTTATTTCTGCAAGCAAATTATAAATTTGTTGTGTTGGATACAGGAAGTTACCAGGTTGAATCAATGGATCCTGATAAGATGTTACAATGGGAAGATATTATCTGTGTACGATACTCTACGCCATTTACAGTGAAGTGTCCAATTTGCTTGGATACTCCACTTTGTCCACAAATAACATCATGTGGTCATATATATTGTTTTCCCTGCATACTCAGGTATTTGTTAATGGGGAAGGGGGATCATAAAGGTGACAGCTGGGAAAAATGCCCCCTATGTTTTATGATGATATCTTCTAGAGATTTATGTACCATTCAGATTGAAAATGTTAAACAATTCCATGTTGGTGATAATGTCCATTTTACACTTCTAACTCGCCTAAAAGATTCACTAGTCCCATCATTGAAAAATAACCAAGAGGAAGGTTCATTGCAGTATAGCAGTGATGGTATAAATGACTTGTTCTCCAAGTTCACTTTGACATCAGATGTTGAATTTTCTGCACGAGAGGCAAAATCAGATCTCAACAATTGGCTAAGTAAAGCGGAATCAGGCTTTATTGATGATTTAGAAAGGCTTCCATACGTCTGTGCAGCTTTGGAACAGCTAGAGGAAAGGATAAAAAGTTGGCTGGAGCAACTGACTATTAGCGGTAGTCCTCCTCTGAAAAATAGTGCTATAACTTCCTCTAGATCAAAGGTGACAAATAATACGAATAAGGCAGGCTCCAACGTGTTAGCTTCAACTTCAGCTTCCAACCATGCCAGCACAACTGCACTGGAATCAGGAGGTAGAACCTCTTACAGTGATCTTAGACATGTGAAGCTTGATGAGAGTTCCCATACTTCATTTACTCATGTACCTGAGCATTCCAGCAGCTCAGAGAAAGGATTATTATTTGATGAGGATAGAACTTCTCAGGATACTACAGAAAGGGACTCATATACTTTTTACCAGGTAAATAAAAATTTCATTTATTTTATCATACCATATTTTGTTCTTGAGCACTCAAATGTTGCAATGTTATTAAGATGTCTTCTTGATATGTAGGGGAACATGGTTCCTTTGTTTTTTCTCTTACTAGCTACATCGTAATTTAAATTTAATTTCTTAATGATTGATGTAGGCAATAGATGGACAACATCTGATTCTGCATCCTTTGAACATGAAGTGTCTTCTTCATCATTATGGGAGCTACGATATGCTTCCACCAAGGTATACATTTCTTTAGTTGCTATAAATGTTGAAGCACATGCTATAGTAGTGTTCTCATTGTGTTCTTTCTGTTGCTTTCCTGACACCATTGCAACTCTCCCTCGCCTCTCTCTCTCTCTGACCGCTTACATGCACATATGTCTGTGAAAAGTAGGGATTTAAACCAAGATGCACGCCTAATATCACGGGTTCAAATTTATATGCTAAGGCTTGCAAGTTATGTATGTTTTCCCAGCATTTTCATTGGCTGATAGTTGTCATAGCCAACCTTCATATCACATAGTTATAGGTCAAAGGGCAAGACTGGCATTGTTTTTATAACGTACAGCCCAAATATTAACTTTGTATCTCAGAAAATAATATACTCATAAAAGATTCTGTCTTTATGGCATTTAACCCAATTTCTATGTATTATATTTATCCAATTAACTATATGCTGAAGTAAGTATGTGTCCCCAAATAACTTTAAAAATATTGTTATGTATGAAATATGTAGAAATTATGGCGGGTTGTAATTTTTCAAAAATATGAGGATATGTATGATACAAAATATCTTTTTGAAATATAATTTGTATGATACAAAATAATTTTTTGAAATATAACACTCAGCAACGGGTTAATACTGTTAAATGGCTTTGTTTCCAGGTAACAAGGTTCATTACATCGAATCATTAATTATAGACACTTTATGCTTTTGGTTTTAACTAGTATTTAAAAAGAAAATTAACTTATGAATATAGTAATAATTTGAAGAAAGTAAAAATTTGTAATGTGAGTTTTGAATGTGGTTGTCATTATGTTTAAACTTGCAAATATATGTTTAGTGCAATGCATAAATTTATTTTAGGTGGATAACCCATACTTTATTGAATAGTTGGTAATAGACGGACACCAATTGTTAAACAACAACAACAAAATAATAATAATAATAATAATAATAATAATAATAATAATAATAATAATAAATAAAAATAAAAATAAAATGAAGCAACCTACAAATGGATACCAACTTTTTATTTTTATAAATGCTTGAAGAAACTTACATTTTATTGGTAAGATTAATTATCTCACATGGTTTTAAAATTCGTGTAGGAGACATATGGCCTTTGTCTACTATCTACCTCAATATAAAGTGCAGGCGGTCACTTGTAAAGGATTCTTTTTCATGTGGAACTTACATAATAGTAATTACAGATGGAGATGGACTTTTCATAGCTTAAACTAGAAAATGTTTCCAGTCATCACCTTTCTACCTCCTTGCTGCTACAATTATATGAACATTTTCACATGTAATGTAAGGGGTGTGATATATAGAGATACATGGTGGAAATGCATGGGAAGTATGTAATGAAGTGCCTCGCATTGCCAAAATAGTTAATTTGCTGCTGCTTGTCATATCCTAATACGTATCGAGTAGAAACTACAAGCTCATCTACCGTTGCTCCTGTGCCCATCATGGATTTATGTAACTCTAAATAAATAATCAATTTCAGAATCAGTGGAGAAATCTTGGAAATGGAGACATTGACTCAATCAGAAGCCATAAGAAAACGATATCGTTACTTGAGTCACTTCTCTTTAACAACGTCAATCCAGGTAATTCAATTTGTTGGTACTTGCATGTTTCTCTTCATGTTATTTTGTTCTTATTGTCTTGTTTTTTAATGTAGCTATGTGAGATTGATCTGAGGGAAATCCTGCCAACTAGTTCTTTCGCTCCATTCAAGGAGGAAATCAAAAAGCGTGAAAAAAAGAGAAAACAACTTGCTAGAAAGGTACATTTTAATTTCTTAATACATATTATTACATTTAATGTTTTGCCATTGACACAAATTTTTAAATTCATTATTTGCTGGTCCTTTTTTCCAATAAATTGTCTGTTAATGAGAAGTATGGTATGCTATGTTACCCGGGTACTTCTATAATGAAGCCGTACCCGTACCGGACACGTACCCGACACTTTCCCGTACCCAAACTTCATGGACATTTCTTGAATATATGCATGCATTTATTACAACATGTACTCAATTATACGATATATGTGTTAATTTAAAACACTTGTCAAAGACTTACTGGACGTAGAGCTTACACTTCACATCCATCTTTTGAAACTAATGAGATATGGGTCGGATTCATTTCAGTCCATACCCAAGTTTAAAACTATATAGTTAATGGGTCGTTTAGATGTCTAGTAAAAAAATGAGTAGTTTACAATTCATGATAATCAATATGATAAAAGAAACTCAAAAATGTGAACGGAATTTTAATTCTAATGACACATGAAGGGGAAAAAATTATCTTATGTACAATATTAATTCAATATATATATGTAGTCGTGTCCACGTACCCTACATTTTATAGTTTTTTTGTGTCCCGTACCCGCACCTGCACCCGTACCAGTACCCGTGCCCATTTCCATGCAACTTAGATGGTATGCTAAATCATGAGATCAAATGTTTTAGTTGACATTTAATACTAGTCTTTTAGTTCTATGTGTAGTTTGTGAGACCACATACAGAGATGAGAACTCTCTTCAGTTCTTTTTGAGCTGCCATTTCTAAGGGTACTGTTTGTGTATTTTCGGTCTTTGATATGTGATTTGTGACATATTGTCCGCGTAACATATACATTTGAAATTTCAGGAAATCCTTTTGCATACTTACTAGTAGTCTGTTGAATGTAACCTTGTATATAAACCACCCTTTCTGCATTTTATTGTGGAATGTACATAATTTATATCATGTATTTGGACCATGTCCACTAGTCTAGAAGGATTTAATGAATAGCAAGCAGTCTAAGTATCTTAACGCGGTATGCACCAGATATTCTATTCTAGCATGATAAGGTCATAACTTTGGACCTTGAAGTTTGTTCCCTTGCTCTTTGATATTACAGCAACTGCACCCTGGAAAAAAGATATATATTCCATCTTGAGGCTGAACGGGGTGCTTTGTCAAGCTTTTACATTCAACTGATAAATACACCTGAATGGTTCTTTATCTTTGCATGCGTGTATGCCAGTGTATATGTGGTTACATGATTTTCTAGTTGTGTCAGCTAGGTCATTTTGATCCATAATTAATGACTTTCCATTTCCTACTGAAAACTTAATGTACCCACCCAAAGTAGAATGATGCTATCAAGTTTACGGACCTCCATGTTAATTCTATCAGCATCTCATATGCCATTCCACTTGTGAGAACAAATGTTAGCAAGGTTGCTGAATGAGGAATATAATCAATCTTAGCAACCACCATATTTATTGTATAAGCATCCGACGTGCCATTCGACTTGTCAGAATAGAAGTTAGCAAGATTTTTACTGAATGATGAATGCTATTTTTGTCCAGGAACAAAATGAAAAAGTCAGGGCTGAAGTTGCGGCGTTAAGCGCGAGCCCTATATTTTATGATCAAAATTATTCACCACCTAAGGAAGCGAAATTTTCATCTGATGATTTTGAAGGTAAGATATTGTGCAATCTATTAATTCTTTGTTATTCTTCTTGTTATTGTAAGCTTTATTCTTGCAATTTTTAAATGTCAATATTTAAACTCTTAAGCTACCTACTTTGCATAGCTAATTTCCTTCGAACTGTTTCCCATGGTAAAATCACTTCTATCAGTTGATTTGATTTAGAAGGAGCTACTGTTTTCAAGTATATTTCTGCTTTCTTTACATATTAACAAGGGACTTCCTGTTTTCAGCATTAGGAAACAGTGTAGTACCATCAACAAGTCCCCCTACCAATGGAGAAAGAAAGAAGTTCTCTGATGTAACACGTCTTGGTTTCGCTGCTGCACATGATTCCCCTACTTTGAGAGCTGAGGGTTCATCTGACCTTCTTCGAAACACAGACAAAATTGACGATGCTTCGGATTCTCAAGGTAATCTTTGGTGATTAAACTTTCTATCTGAGCAATTTGTATTCTCCTTTGATGCTAGTAGTCGTTGTAAACTTGTACTTGATCATTTAAAGATAGCGTAAATTATAGAAAAGCTCCCTCCTCATATTTGTAGGAACAGAAAATTATCCGAGGTTTTTAATGTGACGCTTTACCCCCACATTTTCAATTTCTAGTCGAGTAATGTTTCCCCCCATGTAAGCGCCAATTTCTATAGAATAAGTGTATTTTTTTTATAAGATACATGTAAATACAAATAATTGTCATATTCAGTATTCTATGGTTAAGGCTTTTGTATCCAAGGTTACTTCCTAGAAATTGAAATGGAGGGATCAAACTCTTACTTGAGAAATCTCAGGAATTTTTGTGAATCCTGTAAATCTTGGGGGGTTTTCATGTAATTTTAGCGGGATTTACTGTAATTCATTCTAGAATATATCAAAACTTGCTGCCAGACTTGCCAGTGTAGTTGAACCTGTTTATGCGAGAGGAAGTAACTTGACTTTCCTTTGACTAATTTTTCATTTTTTATTTCTTAGTTCAAATCATTTACATAATAATCATATGTGAGTAGAATTAATTATCATATCATATGATTTATACCTTTCATATCCATTTTACCTTCATCGAAATTGAAGTAGAGGGGATTAAACCCACTTTAGAAACCTAGTGAGGATATTTTGTGAATCCTGTAAATCTTAGGGGAGATTTATGTAATTTATCCTAAAACAAATCCGAACTTGCTATCGCTGTAGGTGAACCATGTATAAGAAAGTAATTCGACATCCCTTTGACGACATTCCTTTAATTATCTCGGTCATTTCTTTTCATACAGGATACCTCAGTGTGGTTTTAATTCTCTCTTAAAGGTATCACATCTCGTATTTTCAAATGATTTTTCTTTATTTCTGTTTCTTCTCCCCAGGCCAGAGGTCTACGTCTACAGCACTATCATTTGCCAATATCACGTCTTCTGCCAAAGCTACAGGGAACCCAGCAGCACAGAACACTAATAATGTACTAGGAAAGAAAGGGAAGAAACAGACCAAGGTTCTTTTATCAACAGCCGGAGGACGGCGATATTGATGGAAACGAAACAGCTAAGGTTGTATCATGCATGTATAATAATAATCAGGAGAATTTTACAACTTCGCAGAACAAGATGCAGAACTAAATGGTAACTTTTAAGAACAGAAATCATCTTTTTTGCTTGGTTGTGCTGTGCTTTGCGAATCGTTTTAAACACTAGAAAGCAGGGTGGTGTTGTAACACTAGGGGGCTGTTTGGTTGTATGTTTTTACCATGTAAAAGGATGGAAAGTGTAGAAAAGTGGGTTCCAATGTCAGCTTTCATCACTTTACATTGTTTGTTTAAATTCTCTTTTACATGAAAAGCTTACACCTTTTGATGATGTGTCACCGAAAGCAAAATCACCAAAATTAAGAGTGATTTTGTTGGAAAGCTGACATAATGACATAAATGTATCCAAAAAAATAATAAAAAAGTCAAAACCTTGTAGAAAGTGGTGAGGTGGATAGTCATTTTCTATTTTGTGTCATAAATACTTTAGTTTACATTATATTATCCAAACAATGTAAATACTATTATTTTAGGATTCACAAAGATTCCTAATCAAACAATGTAAATACTCGAATGGAAAGTGGTGAGGTGGATAATCACTTTCTATTTTGTGTCCTAGAGTAGTCTCATGTAAACGTACAAAAGGAGAATACACGCAAATGGTTCTATGAGAGGCTGAAGATTCTAAAAAAGTTTGTTATTGCATAAATTGAAGTTTTCTTGTTTGCATAAAAAGAGGTATACAAAAAAGCGGCCTGCTTTTATTTAGTATGACTTAATTATATTCTGCTTACCTCTCTTCGAGGTTCTGAGTAGCATTTTTTTTTCCCGAGTTCTAGTTGTTGTAAATCAAATGAAAAAGATCTTCACCGCTTTCTAAGCTATTTCCTTCTCACGGGTAAAACTGAACGAAAATAACAATTTATTAAAATTTGCTCCTCAAATGAATTTTAAAATATTACAGCTATTCCTTGATGAAACTGCATCGAGTTTAGAATGTCGACTCTCAGTGGAAAAAACTGATCGCTATTACTTGATGACCATTTAATTTTACCAACATTAATTTGGGGAATTCTTTTATTTTTATTTTTTAGAATTGTCATCTTCGAGGCACTGCAAGATAGAATAATGCGTATTCTCCAGAATCGATATAATCTTAGAAAAATTCCTCGACCTAAAATATGAGACCAATAGAGGAGACAAGTGAGGTGTCTCCCTCCTATTGGATAATGAGTTGGCCATCATTAATGATGGCCAACTCATTATCCAATAGGAGGGAGACACCTCACTTGTCCCCTCTATTGGTCCCATATTTTGCGTCCATGTAGCGAAGCTCATAATCTTAATCCAAGTTGCTTTATACCAACAGTAATTGGAGATGATCCTTCTCCTGCTCATTTTCAGAAATTTGCGAACAAAAATATCAATTTTCCATAACAAAACAGGAAACGAAAATGCTGGTGGAGGGAAGAAAACGAACAGGTGTGGAGGACTTCAGAGCAAGAAAATATGGTCATGGATTGTCCAATTTTCCTCCTTCCTTTTGAATTTTGCAACATTCTAACTTATTACAAAAAACCCCATAATATCCAAATTAGCATAATCTATTCTAACATCTCATATCGAAGACATGTGCCCAGAAAAGATGAAAATATTTCCTTATAGTCCCCAAAACTACCTAATTTTTATTTTTAACAAAAAAGTTTCTTTTGGGACTAAGAATGAAATTTTTTATCTTTTTTATGTCGTGTGCTTACCATTGACACATTAGAGTTGATGCTTTGATGGTCCTAACATGAAGATTGAAAATAAATTTTCAGCGAGGATTTAGTTAAATAAAACAGATCGACCATGGAAGTTTGTGCAATAACTTCTAAAGTTTAGGGGAGCTTAATCGAACAGAGCCCAACAAATAAAAATCCTCGAGGGGCTTGTCCGAAAGTTAAAATCGGGAAAAGGGGTTGGTGGTAAAAGCGAGGAGAACATTCTTTAGGGGTTAACCGACAATTATCAACACACCGTCGAAGCGGCGACCGGAGAAACGAAAGGAGAGCTTCTTCCGTAAGACGCTGGCGAATTTTTAGTTTCTCATTCGATCGAAGGAATCGCTTATTAGGGTTTCGAATCGGAGGAATCGTGAAAGAGGAGGAGGGAGATGAAGAGGGTTTTCGGCGCGAAGAAGAGCAAGGAGCCCCCTCCCACCGTCCAAGATGCCACCGATCGGGTATTTTTTTCCCTTCATTTTTTCCTTTTTTTTGTTTGCTTAATTAGTTAAAGTGTCTTTTTTTTGGGAATTATCATCAGAGTTTCGAGCAGAATTAGGGCTTTTCTAGTGCAATCGGGTTGGAAGTTCGCTTGAAACTCTAACGTACGGTAGGGATTTTGTGCTGGATTTTGGGAGAATCCTAGGGTTTGAAATAAGCTAATTATTAAAAAAAAAAGAAAAATCCCAAAGTTGGGAACTTTATTGCATTGATAGTCTTTTTCATATAATCATCCTTGGGTTCAATATTTCCTTAGAACCCAATTACGGCCAAGATGCAACAATAGCATCCAGCATGTTGCCTTATTGTCAATGAACTCCCCTCCATAAATTCTCTGATCATCCCCTCAACCAAACAATTAAGGTGAAGAGGGGGCAGCATTGCACGTTATGGCTATGAGATAGATCATACCTTTGAAAGAAATCCAAGCTACCTGTACAATTATGGTTGTCCTTCATATCTAATCATCCTTTGGGGAATTTTTGGTAAGAAGTGTCAAGGATTGCTTGTTCTGTGTTAGAAGTAATTAGGAAATATATAATATTAGGTAAGATATATTAGGAGATATCTTGGAGATACAATGATTGAGAGATATTAAGAATTTGATTAGGAGAAGAATTGTAATTGGGCAATTGAGTTTAGTCTCGCATTGCCTACACACAAAAACCTTTACTGTTGTAACCCTATATAAAGGAAAGTAGTCGTAGCTTTTAATAGATGAAGGAGAATTTCCAATTGTCCTATTGTTTAACATGGTGTCAAAGCGATGGTTCTTAAAATAAAATATTATTAGTCTGTTCTTTAAACCCTAGCCCCTCCACTCCTCAGATCCTTCCTTCTCAATGCGTCGCCACCTCCTTGGGTCCTTAGCGCACCCAGAGATCATCATCGGCGCATCGCCCCTCAGGACTTCCTCCTTAGGGCGCAACCCCGCGTGCAGCTGTGTCGCTACGCTTTGAGCTGCTGCTCCCACGGGCCGCTACCGTCTAACGTCCGCTACCATTGGTTCACCGGTTGTCATCGTCTTCGTGCACTAGCGTCGCGATTGTCACCGTTGTTCTCTTTGCTGTGATGACTCTCTTTCTTTAGGGACAAATTTGGTATGATTTATGTAATTGTCTTTTCTATTATTGAAGAACTATTTTTGGAATTTGTTGATTTTGGTTGGCATTGATGTTTTATGGTGGTGTTGGACTTTGGAATTTATTTTTTTGGTAGTTTGAGGGTTATATGATGGTGTGAGGAGTTTGGAGTTGTTTGATAGGTAGTAGATTGTGTTAGGAGTTCAGTTTGATGTTTAAAGGAGTAAGGAGGTGGTTGGTATTCATTTTTCGCCTGGAGGGTGGTCATATGTTTATCATTATGGTCACCGGCAACAGTGTTAGCTTATATGGACTGGACTTGGCATTGTCATCTTTCTCAAGAGGAGACAAGTTTAGCTATGAGGGTTTTTGCGAGTTTTGGTAAGGCTGCTTGAAGGATTTATTAACCAGCGTGGTGCAAGTTTGCTTTGGTGACAATTATTCTGTAGAGATTACATTGGCAAAGATCATTTGGAGATCAGTTCGGTAATGATTGTTTTGTTAACTTGTTTTATATATGTTCAATTTATTTTGTTGGTTTGTTTGGTGGATCCTGAAGTGGATCGTTTGTTTGGTTGATACATGAGAAAATATTTTTTTGTTTGGTTGATCTATGGAGATAGATAGTTTGTTTGATTGATCCCTTCAGAGGATCATTTGTTTGGTTGATCCATTGAGAGGGTCGTTTGTTTGGTTGACCTGTCGAGAGGATCATATTTTTAGTTGATCTGTTGAGATGATCATTTGTTTGGTGAATCTCTAGAGGGGATCACTTACTTGGTGGATCCCTAGAAAGGATCACTTGTTTAGTTGATTCCTAGCGAGGATCATTTGTTTAATAAATTCTTGGAGAGGATCGTTTTGTTTGGTCGATTTTTAAAGAAGATTGATGTATCATATTTCATGAGTTTGGAAGATAATGTTCGTGGTGGAAGACATTCAAGTTGAAGACTAGAAGATCAAGACTACCGCAAAGAGAAATTACACACAAAATATTTCAAGCCTCTGAATCTCGTCATGAATTAGAGAGTGCATTTTATTTGTAAGAAGCCGGCATGTATGTTATACATGCTCCAGCTTGATGAGGAGTTTTAGAAATAATTAAGAAATATATAATATTAGGTAAGATATTTTAGGAGATATCTTGGAGATAAGATTGAGAGATATTAGGAATTTGATTAGGAGAATAATTGTAGTTAGGCAATTAAGTTTAGTCCAACATTGCCTACATACAAAAACCTTTGCTATAGTAACTCTATATAAAGGAGAGTAGTTGTAGCTTTTAATATATGATGGAGAATTTACAATTATTATATTATTTTAACATTCTAGAAGTTGTTTGTACTAGAAAATTTAGGGTATCTATATAATGACACTAGTCAGGGCTTGTACATGTTGCTTTTGCTTCATCAATTTGTGGTGCTTGCATGGAGAAAATAGTCTAATGTTGCGAATCATTTGGGACTCCTTTAATTGAGAACCCTCTATCCTAAGGAACAAATTATTAAAAGAAGGTCATCTTTTGTTTCCTCATATAACCTTTTAAGAACGTATATTCAAAAATCCTAGATGTGAGTGATAAATCCCTTGATTTATGCTCAATATGAATGCATATTTTGATAGATTTGATGTGTGCTATCAAGATTGTTCTTTAGAAGAGACCTTCTATTGAGTTTGTTCTTTAAGAGAAGAGGACCTTCACTTTTTATTGAATAAACTACTAAATGAACGTTGTGTATTTGCCTATGATTAAAAATAATGGAGGCAAACTAGGGTGGAGAATGATATTAGTTGCAGGTTCTGTAAGTTGATTGTTCATGTTTCTCAGACATCATAATCCTTATAGTTCCAATTGGCACCATTCTTCATGCAAGCACTAGTTACTCCATACCATACATCAGCTCCATTCTTCATGCAAGCACTAGTTACTCCATATCATACACCAGCTGAAAATCCTCATTTTTATGCCCATGTATAAATTTTGTTCGAGCTTAAAATGATCGGAACACTTGTTGTGTAATGATTGTTTGAGCTTTTATTTTAAACTTAATTTAGTTGGTTATCTAATTATGCATTGACTGCCATTCATTTAAAATCCAACTTTTCCTAAGATGCCACGTCTTGTGGGGATCTTTATATACAATTATAGAAGATGCCAATGTTAAAAAAAACAGGATCTTATTATGTGTGCGTTTAGGAGCGCTTAACGACTAAATGTGTTGGTGAATCGAATTATGAGGAATTATGCATTTTTGAAATTTTTAATATATATTTATTATTTATCACATGTTAAAATATATAAAATTCATGAAATTAGGAAGCATACTAAGAAAAAGACCAACCAACATGCAATTTAACATTCATCAATTAGTTAACTACTTAAAAGTTAAATCCATACATCATAAGTAACTAGATAATAACTAGCTAACTACTTAAATTTCCTAACGAAAACTCTAATTTAATTCTTGTGTAAACCCAAATTATGCTTCATAATTTGAATATAATTAAAGAATCATACATTGACCTAATCTTTGACGGTGACAAGAAGCTTCATCAAAGATAGAAGCTTCACTTATTCATTGAAGATAGAAGCTTTGTCGAGCAAAGGAATGACGAAGGTCATGTCTCGTCGCAACTGCTAGGTTCGCATGAATCGTGATTATTTGGGAAAAGATAAGTGCTAGGATCTTTTTTTTTTACTTTATTTAATTGGATCGGGTTTTGGGGCTAAATGGGTTTAACCCACAATCAAATTAGAAAAAACCTCCGCATAAACAAATTATGCGGACACTTACTTAAAAATCCACCAATTATGCGGGTGTCTGCATAATTGAGCACATTAGTTCAAATCCTGCGCTTTCTTATCTTGCTTCCGCTTAAGTGGGACTTAAACCTTTTTTTAAGAACATCGTACGACACAAAGTTTTGTGGGAGCTTTATACAGATGTACATGTCGGATATCATTTGTTGGATATGCGAGAAAAAAATTGGGTTGCAAATCTTAGCAAAACTCTTTTAGGTTTTCCTTGCAAACAGGCTTAGCCAAATCTTACTTATGTCTGGATGTTGATTGGGCTCACTAGATCTTACCTATTTCTTTATATTATATGAACTTCAGTAGCATTCTTCTGGTAAATTTTTGAACACCCCCCGACCCCCACAAAAAAAAACCCAACTTTGCGGGTTTTACATAAAATTACCACAGACTTTGAAAATCTTAAAAGCATCTATGACTTTGTGGTGTTCTCATCTTATAAATACCAGATGTGTTATTCAAATTCAGGTATAGGTTCAGGATCTTGGAATTAATGATTTTTTGCCTGAAATGGAGAATATTCGGGTTTCAAATAGGCTAATTATAAAAAATATTTTTATAATTAACATAAGACCCCAGAGTTAGTAACTTTATTATGTTAATAGCATCTGTTACAAGTGCAGCTAACCCTTGAGTTCAAGTTCTCTCTGCAACCTAAATTGCAAGTCACTTGTAATTAGTTTTTTTGAGTAAGTGTCAAGCTCACTTTTTCATGAAACATCTTCTCTTAGTTAAAGATTTAGGGTAGTTGTATAATACTTTTAATTACATGTGTAGTATGAGACTACCAAAGTGTATAGATCACTTTTAATTTGTGTGGTTATATGAGAAAGGAGCATAATGGTCAAAACATTGCATTGATCAACATTGTATCCAAAGTTTCTGTCATATTCTAAACCTGACCTTTATAAATTGTGTTTTTCTGGCCCAATGCGCAACTTATAGATTTATGTACTGTGTGTTTTATGGTTGTGTACATACTTGTATTGGATGATGATTCTATTTCTTCTCTAAAGATTAAGATGTCTTTACTTTGTCTCTTAGAATATCTTGTGTTGTACTTGTGTTCATTATACTCAAAATGATTTCAGATAAATAAACGAGGTGATACAGTGGATGAGAGAATTGCAAAGCTTGATGCTGAGTTGGCCAGATATAGAGAACAAATAAAAAAGACCCGACCAGGTCCTGCTCAGGAGGCTGTTAAAGCTCGAGCTATGCGAGTTCTCAAGCAGAAACGACTGTAAGTTACTGTTTATGAGTGTCATTTTTAGTGTTAGATCTCCTATGCTTCAGAACTTAAGTGCATTATATTTTAAAAACATGTGTGCGTGCATGCATGTCTAGTCTAGGTAACTGATAGTGTCAATTCTGATTGACCATTGATATTCAATCTGTTTGTGGTTAGTCGGTATATTGATTCTTCATCATATCCTACCTAAATTTACTTTGTCTTGACAATGACCTGCAATTGATGTTCATTATTTCATTCTATCCTTCACCCTGTCGAGAAGATTTCTTGTCATCCAGTTTGTCCATTTGTTGTTCACTTTTGTTATTTGTGTAACCGTCTAGGTGCTGTTTTTTTAATATAACATTACAGCATAATGCTTAATGAGTGCATCTAATCCTTTATGTATCTCTTGGATCATGTACAACTCATATTCCATCATCATGAACGTATTGTCCTTTTCCATTGTTTAGGAGGCAGTGATAAACACTTAAATGACTGCTCAGTTGTTGTTTTGTACATTATTTATCTTTTTTACACAATTTAAAGATCAATATGATTGGAACAAAGAAATTTCCTTTTATTAATTTTTACTGATCTGTATGTTATTCTGTTAATGACTGCTGAGTATGTTATTTTGGCTTCTACTTGCACCCACTGTATTTAAGCATCTTCTCGTAGCTGATGCTTAGCTAGGTGCAGCGCTCGAAGTTAAGACATTTGTTGCAATTTTTCTTGGTTAACTTTACATAGAGTCATCCTTTTTATGGATTATGGTTTCTTAATATAATCTCTTTAAAGTTTATGAATCGAGATGTAGCTGGAATGCTGGATTAGTTTCATTGATTTAATAGATAATGTGTGCGTGTGTATTTAATGATTTAATCTTTTCACTGAAGATTGAACACACTTTGGAGTTCTCTAGATGATCACTTCGCTTGTATATCCTTCACTTTTAGTGTAACACTGAATATTTTTTGTTAATCTGCTTTGCTCAGGTACGAAGGACAGCGTGATATGTTGTACAATCAGACATTCAACCTAGACCAAGTTACTTTTGCTTCTGAAGGAATAAAAGATGCTCAACAAACTGTAATTCTTCTCTTTTCTTCTGGAAGTTGGAGTAAATGATAATAAGCTTTACATTATTGTGTAACTTACTAAATTTGGTCGTCTCCTTTTAGGTATCTGCATTGAAATCAGCGAACAAGGAGTTGAAAGGCATGATGAAGACTGTGAAGATAGATGATATTGACGTATGCTTTCTAGCTTCTTGATTGCCACCCTCCACATATAGATTGTTAATGCAATAGTTTGTAAAACCTAGAAGTGGTGCTTATATTTCAATTGTTTTTTGTATGTGTAGAACATGCAAGATGAGATGATGGATCTGATGGATGTTAGCTCAGAGATACAAGAATCCCTTGGTCGAAGTTACAATGTTCCAGAGGATATAGACGAAGAAGAGCTTATGGGTGGTAAGTTGAAGTTCACATTTCCTTGAGGCATTATTTCAGTATGTTTATGAATTTTCATGGGCCAGGTTTAAAAAAAAAACCCCAAAACTTTGTGGCGTTTTCTGCAAAACAACACTGAGTTCTGTTTTTCCCACTAAACCCCCAAAACTTTTCCACAGAACCCCTAAAACTCTGAAAAGTCTCAAATAACTCCCCAAAGCTTTTTAGTTTTTCCCTGCAAAACTCCCACATGAAGTGTCTGTTGCAATTGGAGGACCTTACTATTTGGGGCTTTTGTGGAAAAACCTAAAAGTTTTGGGAGGCTATTTAAGACCCTTGAAGTTTTACGGGTTTTGTGGTAACAGTTTTGAGGATTTAGTGGGAAAAACAAAGTTCAGCGGGGTTTTTCGAGAAACATCCCAAAATTTTGGAGGGTATTGTAAAACTAACCCAATTATTGTGATATTTGTTGATTTTGTGCTTTGAATTTGTTATAGCTTAATTTTTTTTGCTATTGTTTCCGGACATGAAATGCAGAGCTTGATGCCCTAGAAGCAGATATGGGAACAGAGACTGAATCTGATTCAGTTCCTTCCTACCTTCAACCAGATAAAGAACCTGATTTGGACGCAGAACTCAACTTTCCTTCAGCTCCGACAGGGCATCAACCCAACAGACAGAATGCCCAGGTAATCCTAATGTCATCATAATTGCAAATTAAATTAGTGTGCATGTTAAAATGCTAAATATTCATATGAAAAATGAGTTCTCCTTTGAAGATCCGCCTAGATTTGATGCCATTTATTTGGTTGCCGAAGCTATAATGAACTGGCAAAAGTTACTGCGGCACGGAATGACGAAAAATCTCAAAAGTTTGCAATTTCTACTACTACAGGAGATTTTGAGATACTAATATCCTATCCAAACACACTCATTGATCATTTCACCAAGATTGGGAGTAGCATATTCTTTTTTTTCTAGCCAAAATTTACAGCTATCTATTTATGTTCATCCATAGTACATTGCTAAGTTTTTATAGGGATTGGGTGACAGATAAGGGTCACATACAGCTAAAAATGTCATGTGAAGTAAATACGCTGACGGCTGACCTTACTAGCGTATTATTGCATGTATTTATATGAACACCATCATCAAAGCCTTCCTCCAAAATATTTGGGAGTAGCTACATGAATATTATTCTTATTCTTATTTTTTTTATCTTATATTCTTTCATTCAATTTTGTTAAGGGTTGTATTTTCCATATATTTACTTACCACTGTAATATCCTTATTTCAAACCAACTTCTGTTAGACCTCCCTCTATTCTCCTTGGTCCATTACTTATAAATTATAACCTTACTTATGTTAATTGGTGTTACGTAATGGTGCCCTTGCATTTTCACAAGTCATCTCAATTGCTTCAGTTTTTCATACTAATTTACTAAATAGAAACAACGTTTATCTTATAACTTCCAGTGAGGGTTGTACGTCCATACAACCATCACAGCATTCTTATTGCTATGCTCATTTTTGCACATGTTTCTTGGTTGTATAAAGCATCCATAAAGCTTTTACTGATGCATGTATTTACATAGAAAGATTAAATCTATATGCTAATTCACAAGCACGTATCAAATCATGCAAAAGCATGAGGTAACATATGAACAGAAAAGGTCTTTCATGGATCCCAGAAACTTGTATATTCCTCTTTCTGGTGCATTATTTGTTGATGCAACACTCGCGGATCTAAGAACGAGTATAAACTTTGATACTACAGGCAGAGGATGAATTTGGTCTACCCGCTGTGCCTGGAGCCTCTATTCGCGGTTGAGAGCAAGCCATAGCAGATAAAATTCGTGTCAATACAACGCTGTTCTATTTGGAGATGCAGCATACTTGTACCGGTACGAATTTATGACGTTGGTAAAGTGAGCCTACTCATTTTGTGAATATGCTTTGTCTGTTCCGAACACTAAAACGTAACTACTGTTATTTTGGAGGCATTTCGTTATGGTGATTCTATTATCGTCTTCCGTTGTATATTTTGTCGCATGACGCTCGTTTCTGTATGGCTTTTGAATGGGTCTGACATTAATCGCTTGTGAAATATTTTCCGCACCCATTGATGCATATTGTCGTAATTCTATAGGGACAAATTTTCAAACCCAACCGGTTTGCCAAAAAATTCCCAAAAAAAGACCCGTTTCAAACTTAATTTCAAAAACCGACCTAGTTAGACAGAAACTGGGTCGGTTTTTAAAAAAAAAATTCCCAAACTTCACGGGAGTTGAAGTCCCGTGAAGTTTTGTTATATAAAAAACTTTACGGGACTTCAACTCCCGTGAAGTTTGGGAACTTTTTTTTCAAAAACAGACCCAGTTTTAGCCAACTGGGTCTGTTTTTGAAATTAAGTTTGAAATGAGTTTGTTTTTAGGAATAAAATTCAAAATAGGTTGGTTATGAAAATTTGTCCAATTCTATAGAGGTTGAAACTCGTAAACACCATTTGATGTTAGTACATTAATGTGCTGTAACACTCCAGTTGCTAACCCTAAATTGCGCCTTATGCTCGGCCATAGTCTATTTGTGTTGATATAAAGCCATTTTATATTTTTATGTGATTGACGACCATTGTCTATTTGTGACCATATATAAGTTAGTTTATATATGTATTTTTTTTTCCAGAAATAATTTAATTCTCTTATTGGTTATAACAACCTGTTCAAACCAATGCTTAAAACGGTTTTGGACCTTATTGAAACCCGACCCTTTAATTGCTTCTTAATCAAGCAATTAAAGGTCCTTTAAATAGACCTAATTATTATTATTATTGAAACGTCCTTTAAATATCCACACCACACGTCGATATGGGAACCGACCCAAGCTCCG